AGTTATCAGGAAAATTTAAATCTCCATAGATCCTGTTACAGCCCAAGAAAACCTAAAGATAAGCAAACAGATTACTAACATTTTTCCAAGACCCAAAAATGCAAAATGGGGCAACATATTACACTCTTCTTCTTCTCCTTCACTTCCGGAACGGCAGACACCTCCTCAATCTCCTCCTGAATATGGTCCAATTCTATGGCTCTGGAACACAACCCTGTCCCCGCTATCAGAATTTTCTTCGTCAAAATCTGCAACAAGCTGGCCAACCCTGTCCCCGCTATCAGAATTTTCTTCGTCAAAATCTGCAACAAGCTGGCGATGTGGGGCTAGGCGGGCGCTAGGCGGCTAGGCGGGGGCTAGGCGGCTAGGCGGCTGGGCGGGCCTCCTAGGCGGGTTGGGTCTTTTTTTGGTGCCAAACCCGAAGGACGAAGCAGCCGAAACCGAAGAAAACCAATGGAAGCTTTGAGTTTGATAGAGAAGCGAAATGGCTGCGTCTGCGAGTGTAAGCTTCGTGATAATATTTAAAGAGTATAGCCGAGCGGCTATACAATTAAAATATCCGAATATATTAATATTTGAAACGTCTAGCCGTTCGGCTATACCTTTAAAATATTTGAATGTATTTACCCTTTAAATACACATTTTTGTCCTATCGTTTTAGGGTGTAGGGCTAAAATACCACTTTAGCCCATTGGGCTAGAGTTATTTCTTCAATTATTTTATTTATACACGCGTTATTGGGGAATGAAAATTTAAATTCTTTCCGATACCTCCCATTCTAATGATTTCCACATATTAGCCCATTGGGCAAGAATAAAAAAATGGATTTGATTTATAACAAATAATATGGGTTAAACCCATAAATACAACAACCGCTCTTCGCTTGTTTCATGTTCTCAGTAGCGATAGACTCTGCAATGTAGACACCTTGCTCACTGGAAAGCAAGCCTTCATGAAATCTGAAACAACATAAGTGGAAAAAAAAATTGAAACAAGTTACAGAACAAAAAAAAACATTAAGTACG